TTTTTAATAAAATTTTTATATGTTATTAAATGAGTAGATAAACTTGATATTACAAGTTTTAAATAAATAAAAAAAATTAATAATTTAAATGATATAAAAAATAATATAAAAAATTTATCTTGGAATAATTTTCCCATCCTCATATAATTATACAAGTGCAACGTGGAATCCTGCCGTGGAGCACTGAGCAGGCCCTATATTGCATGTTTCTGTTTCATCATTATATGATGGCCGGTTTTTGTGGCAGTGTGGAATTTTGGAAGCATATATTTTATGGGTTTGTTTCATTTCATTAATGTTTTTGAAAAGACCAACGAAGAAGACACAGGAATTGCGGAGGAAGAATACAAGAAAATTAGTCATCTTTGTTGAACTTTGACACACAAACATGTAATAATGTCATAAACAACCAAACAAAAGGAACATGGGTTCTTGAGGATTTAATTATTCCAATTAGGGGAGAAACGTAGGGAAATTCCTCTATATAAATTTTTTTGTATGGCAAAGTTGGTGAGACTTGAATCAGAATAGAATATAAAGAAAGAGAAAACTTATCTTATTTCCAACATGTAAAATTATAGAAAGAATTTTTTTTTTGTTTTTTTATATTTGATTACGAGTTATATAATATAGAATTTTGAATCTCTCTTCCGTCTCCACCTATCATGAAAGGAAATTTTAGGATCAAAACTAGAAGTCTCCTTTCCTCTCCCCCTCTTTATCTTACTTAATTTTAGATATTTTATTTTTTAAAATGTATTTTTTAGTCTAAGCTACAAATATATATATATATAATTTGAGCTGAAAAATTATCAAAATATTTTTAATGAATTTCTTCACTAGCCCAAACTTTTTTTTTATTATACAATTCAAATTTAAAAAAAAAAAAAACTTTTATTTTGTAGTCTTTCTGAATCATAACAGACAACCCTTGAAAATGGATATCTAGATTTGCTTTTTGCCTTTTTTTCTAGATTGAAAGAAAGTTGTCTAATTACCACACATCTTAAGCAATATCAATCAATTAACAAATCACATCCATACAATTGAATTACGAAGTAACTTGTTCGTAAACAAGAAACTAATTAATATGAGATTGGAGTATAACCGGCACAAACCAACAGAAGAGATTAGTCGTCTTGGGATCAATTAACAACAAAACCAAGTTTTGTAATCCCGGCAGTTCAAATCACTATAGTTTGTGCACAGCTAACTTCTAATGTATTGAAAAAAGGAAGCAAAATGATTGAGAGAATTTTTTT